CAAACCTGGGTCCTCTGCAAGAGCTGCATGTGCTCTGCACTGCTGAGACATCCATCCCTCCAGCCCCAACTAATGCATCTACTTCTTTTTTAAAAGATTTATTTATTTTTATTTCTGTGTTTGTGTATGTGTACCTGCGTGGATTTATGTGCACCATGGGCATGCAAGTGCCCTCAGAGGGTAAAGGATCCTCTGGAACTGGAGTCACAGGAAGTTGTGAGCCAGCTGATGTGGGTGCTACAGACTGAACTGGGTCCTCTGCCTGAGCAGTGAGCCCTCGCTAATACTAAGTCATCTCTGCAGCCCTCAGACCAACCCTTTTACATCTGAGGATGCTCCGAGTACAGCTAGCATGGAGTCAGTCTTCATTAGTGACTTGCACGTGATTACAAAGAGCTACTTCACATGTGCCTATTAGATCAAGTTTGTGAACTGCATTGATACTGTTCTGTTGATATTTTCTGCATCTTTACTGATATTTTGGTGGTTAATTTATCTGTCAATTTCTTAGAGAAGACAATGTTTTATCAAATCTTTATCAAAGAATTTGAGAAGTTCACACAATGTATAGTTTTTCTTTTTACAAATAAATGTGTATTCCGGGTGGTGGTGGTGTATGCCATTAATCCCAGCACTTGGGAGACAGAGGCAGGCGGATCTCTGTGAGTTCAAGGCCAGCCTGGTCTACAGAGTAAATTCCAGGACAGGCTCCAAAGCTGTAGAGAAACGCTGTCTTGAAAAAAACTTTAAAAAATGTGTATTTTTCTTTTTTTCCTTTTATTGAAAATAGATTTTTTTTTCTCTCCCTTAATATATCCTGGTTGTGGTTTTCCCTCCCTCTACTCCTCCCAGTTTCTCCCCATCTCCCTCCCTTCTGGTTTGACCCCTTTCTGTTTCTCATTAGAAAATCAAATAGGTAAGGGATAATCATAAAATAAAATAAGATAAAACAAAAACACATGGGAATAGGACAAAACAAACAAACAGAAAGAAGAGAGGACAAGAAAAGGCACAAGAAACAGATGTAGATGCAGAGACCCATTACACACTCAGGAATCCCCTACAAACACTAAACTAGAAGCCATATGGAAAAAAAATATACATGTAGGGTGTCTTAGATAGGATTTTATTGCTGTGAAGAGACACCATGACCATGGCAACTCGTATAAAGAAAACATTTAATTGGGGTGGCTCACTTACAGTTTCAGGGGTTCAGTCCATTATAATCATGATGGTGACTATGGCGGCGTGCAGGCAGATGTAGTATTAGAGCTGAGAGTGCTACATCTTGCAGGCAACAGGAAGTCAACTGACTGTCACACTGAGGAAAGCTAGAGCAAAAGAGACCTCAAAGCCCGCCCCCAGTGACACACTTCCTCCAACAAACCACACCTTCTAATAGTGCCACTCCCTTTGGGGGCCATCTTTCAAAATGCCACTTAGGATAAAAAGAGAGAAAAATATATAGATAAAACAAAAATAAAAGATAAGAAAAAATTTAAAAAAGGAGGAAAAGCCCTGACATGACCTTATGAGACAAGGAACCTCCAAAGACGCTGTTGAGTTCATTTTCTGTTGACGTCTACTGCTGGGCATGGAGCCTACCCTTAAGAGTGCTTTGTTTCCTCTTTGAAACTTCCTTGGGGGAAACTAAATTTTCATGTGCGAGTGGTCATCAATTGGTGATAGCTTCTGGGTTAGGGATGGGAGCACGTGTCCACTTCTTTCAGCTCTAGGATCCCATATGGTGCAGAACCAGTCAGGCCCAGTGCATGCTGCCTCAGTCCCTATCAGTGCATGTATGCATCCATCCTTATACAATGTATTAGAATCAGTCATATTCCTACTGATTCCTTCCCCAAATCCTTCCAGATCAACCCCCACCTTCCTGCCTTCCCATATGTTTCTGAGTTTGGGGTCATCTGCTGGAGTGTAGTTGACCTACCAAGAGCTACACCCTTACAGAAAACTGACTCTCCCCTCCTCCAGAAGCCATCAACTGTCCACATCCCTCATCCAGGGGTGCGGACTGGCGAACCTCCTCCTGCTCCATGGTTGAATATGGACTAGCTGATCTTGGGGAAGTTTTGTGCAGGCAACCGCAGCTGCCGTGCGTTCACAAGCATAATGGCCCTTTATGTCTAGAAGACAGTGTTTTACAGCATTCTTCCTGACCTCCAGCTCTTAGTGTTTCCACCCCCTCTTCTAAACAGTCCCTGAGCCTTGGGTAGGAAATGAGATACAGACATCCTGTTTGTGACTGGACACTCCACACTCCCTGTCTGTGCTGACCTCTGTGAAGAGATTTGTCATCCTCAGTGCTGGTCACTCTTGTTTGGTTGGTTTTTCAAGGCAGGGTTTCTCTGTGTAGCCCTGGCTGTCCTGGAACTCACTCTGTAGACTAGGCTGGCCTCGAACTCACAGAGATCCGCCTGCCCCTGCCTCCGAGTGCTGGGATTAAAGGTGTATGCCACCACACCTGGCATGTTGTCCACTCTTGCTTGTGTATTTTGAAGCTATATTATTTGGGTGGCTATAACTTGAAAACTTCTGAGTCTTCCTAGAGAAATGTCCTGCTTTTTTTTTTTCCTGTTCAGAAGTCCATTTGTAGAGTGTATGTATTGATGTGTGCACATGCAGGCAAGTGCACATGTGTGGAAGTCAGAAGACAAAAGTTTTTAAGAGGGTCTCTCACTGGCCTAGAGCTCACCAATTAGACAAGGCTGGCTGGTCAGTGAGTCCCAAAGGTCTGCTTGTCTCCACATCCATGTGTCCACCACTTGTGGCCTTTTAAAAAGTACATATTGTATATTTACTATGTTTGTGCATGCAGGTGTGTGTGCAGGTACATGTACATCCATGCATGTACATGTGCAGACTACAGATTATCCCCAGGTGTCTTCCTCTATGCTTTCCATCTTGTTTTATGAGATAGAATACCTTGCGCAACCTGGAGCTCACCATTTGGGCTGGGCTGGCTGGCTGGCAAGCTCCCGGGATCTTCCTGCATTCCCCCTTCCCAGGTTCCCCATCCCCACCCGGGGTTACAGATGTGCCCCAGTGTTTATGTGGGTTCTTGGGGTCTGGACTCAGGTCTTCATCCTTGGGCAACAAGCGCCTTCCCCACTGAGCCGCCTCCCTAGCCTCCTCCTGGTTTGTTTTCATGTGGGTTCCGAGGGTGGAACTCAGAGCCTTGTGCATAAACACTTCCCCGTGGGTCCTTCTCAGCCCCTGTGTTTTCTTTTGATTGGACATGTTTATTTTCATCCCTGAGCTCTTTAAGCTTTCTCTATCTTTTCAAGTTGTAGGCACATCTCTGGCAAATGGCATATATCTGAACTTTATTTTCTATACAGTATGGATATTAATGCTTTCTTTTCTTTATACATAAAGGATTCTGGTTGACCTGAAAAATGAAGTTTGGTATCAAAAATGCCATGACCCTGTATGTAAAGCACAAAACTTCAAATCTAACTGTGAGTTATTAATTTTTATAGTGAATTTTATCTTAATTTCATAAAGTGAAAATTAGACATCCCCCTAAAAATATTTCATCTTTTTGATTCAGGTTTCCCATTACCCACTGAAGTAAGTCTCCTGTTTCTTCTGAAAGAGGTGAGTGTAGCTCTTGGCCTTGTGTTTTGGTGCATAGTATAAGTGAACTATGAAGAGTATCCAGTCCAGATGACTCTTAAACACAGTGTGAGGCACTTGTGTTCACTTTGGGATATGTTCAGTTCCTAGCACCCACATGGTGACTCACAACTCCAGTTCCATGGGATCCAGTGCCCTCTTCTGACCTCCATAAGCTCCTGCATGCATTTGGCACACACACACACACACACACTAAAAAAAAAAAAGCAAAAAGGTAAAAACCTTGACACATAATTTAGCCAAACGGATGCAAAGGTTTTAGCATAAATCTTCCATTATTTACACTTGTGTGTGCTCACTTTATTTCCAAAGCCGTAATGCATGGAGCTAGGTTTCTTCTCTGAAGTATCAGAAACATTTTCATTACTAGCTATTGCCAGATTGCTCCATGAAATACTAGGAATTGAGACTGTACAGATGTTGTACGGATGTTGATGGAAGCACCTGCTGCTAAGTTAGCACCGCTGAGAGCACCTTCTAATCATTGCCAGCCTGGAGACGAGTGCCAGGTCACTTTCCATTTGTACTTATTAATGAAGCTGTGTTCTTTTTAGGTTCTTATTTCTGTTCCTCTTAGGAATTTGTGTCCATTTTCCTATGACATCTTAATATTTTTGTCATGTATTATTTACAATTTTTTCAATTTTTATTTTTACCCACATCTATCAATACCTTCTTTCAGATTGCCATGGTTAGAATAAATGACCTGCTACAAGCCGAACAAGTGCTTACATTTCATCCTAGAAAACTGGCATCCTTTGAAACCTACATTTAAAATCTCTTCTGAAAACACTGAAGTTCTTTATTTTATGTGTATGAGTGTTTTGATGGCCTGTGTGTCTATGCACCACATGTGTGCTTGGTGCCCAAGGAAGCAGAAGAAAGCATTGCATTCGCTGGAACTGGAGTTACAGATGGTTGTGCAGCGCCATGCGTGTGCTGGGGACTGAACCTGGGTCCTTTGGAAAGGCAGCCTCTTAACCACGGAGCCATCTCTGCAGACTCAGCATCCAGGTTTAAAGGGAAAATGCTATGAGCTGGCCATAAAGAACTGACCAACAGTCCCTCCCTCCAGCAGACTGCTAGGCTTACAAGTGCTAGAAATAACTAGGAACAAGTTAAAAATCCTAAACTATCTTCTGAAAGGGCAACGTATAGTCTTGTTTGGTTTTGAGTGGTTTCATTTCTTTTGCAGTGCTGGGAATTGAACCTGGGGCCTCATCCATGGGAAGCAAGTGCTTTCCCCTGGGCTACATTCCCAGTCACTCATTTATTTTGGTGACTGGTTTTGGTGGAACTTTTTTCTTTTCTAATACCCCCAAAATGCCAAATGAAAGTATTCTTGGTTTGAGTATAACTTAAATGTTTATTATTTAGAAATAACTCTAGAAATAGTGCCTTTCAAGTGAACAGTTAACATAGCTATTTCTCCCTCATCTTTATATATATACATCTTTATACACACATATATAGATATGCATTTGTGTGTGCTCATGTGTGTGCAGGAGTGCACACATACAGGCCAGAGGGACAGTTTTGGGTGTCTTTCCTTAGGAGCCTTTTTGGTTTTGAGACAGCTTCTCACTGGGCTGGTATTCACTCAGGAGGCTTGGCTGGATGGCCACCAAGCTCCAAGGACCCATCTCTCTCTACCTCCATAGCACTGGGATTGCATGCCTGGCTTTTTTACATGGACTCTAGGGGTGATTTTTGTTAATTTAGAAATGTATTTTCACCAGGCGGCGGTGGCACATACCTTTAATCCCAGCACTTGGGAGCAGAGGCAGGCAGAACTCTGTGAGTTCGAGGCCAGCCTGGTCTACAGAGTGAGATCCAGGACATCCAAGGCTGTTATACACAAAGAAACCCTGTCTCAAAAACCAAAACCAAAAAAGAAGAAATGTATTTTCCAGCTTGTCTCCAGCTAGCCTATCTTCCCATTAGGAATTTATATCTACCTTTGCTGTACCCCTTCTGGGGATATGGAAATGCATCTGCCATGAACTACAGTTTCAGCCCGTCTACACTACAAAAGCAATCATGTTTGAGCTAACTTACCTGCCCCATGGGGACGGTTCTTGACAACAGGAATCTAGCATGCCATTTGACTTTGGAAAACTGGTTATTACTTCATACCTTAACTCAACATATTTGGAGTGTGTAGTGAAGTCACATATTCTGACTAATCTTTATTCCTCTCTCCTACTTCTCTTTTCCACCAAAATAAAGGAGGAGTTCACTTCTGATGAAGCAGATGAAACCAGCAACTCACTGGCCAAGAATTCTCAAAACCCACCATCCAGTAACCTGTCTCCTGGCCAGTTTTCTGACGCTGACTGGGATGACAAAGATGATGTCTGCTTCCTGGAAGCTACAGAAGATGCTGAATTCGCTGATGCTGCAGACAAGAGTCTTCTCGGTTACAAGAGTGCGATGGACGATATTCCCGATGAACTAATTGTAGAAGCATTACAGAGTAGCTAACTATGGGTGGGACTTACCTAACGAGGCTACAGTTTGCCTGAAGCCTGAGATTTGATGACATAAGTGTTAAATTAGGGCGGGGCTATAGCCCAAGGGTAGAAGGCCCTGCATTTAATCCCCAACACTATAAAAAATCAAATTATATTAACTTATTACTAAACCTGTTTATAGCAACTGTTGTATCAATTGGTTTTCTAATAATTTGCTTTTTATCTGAGCCAGTTTTATTGAAGATTAGCTTTGACATACTTCAGTAACTGCTCCTAGTCAAAATTATTCCATGCTTGCACTGACATCATTAAAAAGCTTATTGTAGGTTAAAACTCTTATGCCTCGTGATGACTAACATGTCAAGAGACTGAAATTTACTAACAATAATCAGAACAATAAATGTGGCTTCTGAAACCGTTAGGCAGTTGAACTGGTGTAATTTAGTTTGGATGACAAATGGTAATAAATTCTGAGGAGTAGCCACACTTATTATCGGGATGGAAGTTTGGTTATCAAGCGTGCGGTTTCTGGAGATGGCAGCAGGGGGCTGACTCAGCAAATGTCTTCTCGGTCCTGCTCAAGGAGCTTCCCCAGCTGATAGTTGATGGTTTTCAGGTGTTTTTCGGCTCCCAGAACCGTTCTTGCTTTAAACAACAGAGCTGGAAGGCTAGATGAATCATACTGTTGATGAAAAAAAAAAAAAACGATTTAGACTCACACATAGTGATACTTTAATAATTTCTTTAGTTTATAACCCCACAACCAAGGCCAATTTTGAGTTTTCTCACCCCTTGTATTTAGCTAAGATCAGTAGGAAACCATATCTTAGTCCATCCCATCTCCTCAGAATATGGCGTCATACAGAACCACTCAACAAAGCTGGAGCAGATCTCTGTACCCCAGGCAAGACCAGCTGGCTCAAAGAACTGTGGCATCTGCACGACTAAAAATGGCAAGTGCTGCCTCAAACGTGGACTAGGCAAGTGTGTTGGTGGTATGTGGGGTCTGCTTGATCGCAACTGTTTTAAAACAGAAGTGTCTAGAGCAGGTTTCCTTTCGCTCCAAGAACTAATGGAATGAGAAGATGGCCTGTTAAAGTCTACTTAGGAAAGTCACTTATTGGATCAATTCAGCCTTAAAGGTTCCCAATCCAAATGTAAGGACAAAGTTCAAACACAAAGCCAGCCTAAATTAGAACTCAAAATGCAACTCATGACCTGGGAATAATTAACAAAGCCAAACTTCCAGTTGCAAACTACCTGAGGGAAATTAAATTCCACTTAAATAATTTACCATACTTTTGGCAGCTTACTGATAAATGTGTTTCCAAGGTATTTTTCTCAGTCATGAACACTGAGCAGAAAAGCTGCCAGACAGTGGTGACCCCTCATAACAGTGGGACTTGTTTCCTGCCACACACATACCATGTTACTGGAGAATTCAACCGAACAGATGTAGGATCGCCTCTGCTCAAGACACCTCAAGCACCCACTCTCTAAGGAGCGGTGTGACATCTCCAGATGTCCCAGGAAAAAAGGGGAAGTGCCCAACAGTAACAGTACAGCAGGCACTGAAGGCTCACCACCTCATTTGTGAGAGCAGCACTGTATTCCAGTTACCACAGCTTGGTGTTCAAGTCCTGGCCTAGGTCGGGGAGCACTTGCCTTGCACGTGCAAAGAGTGATCTTGGCTTAACCGGGGACTACGTTCAGACTGGGTCAATGCTACTACAACTTTCACAAACTTAGTAATCAAATCCCTAAAATAAACTTTAGGTACATTTTAAAAACTTATTTTTGTAGCTTATATATGAACAAATCTTCAGCTCAGGAAAACTTAGATCAATGCCAGATCTTAAAATTGAATTCAGAGGTGAAGAATACAAACCTGATCATTACATATGCAGAGACATTGTGTGTAATTATGTATCACTTTCTGTACATAGTTCTACACAAGATTCTTAGTGTAGTTCTATACACAGTTCTTAGAGTAATTCCGTACACAGTTCGTAGTGTAATTCCATACACAGTTTTTTGTGTAATTCTATACACAGTTCTACACACGATTCTTAGTGTAATTCTGTACACAGTTCTACACATGATTCTTAGTGTAATTCTGTACACAATTCTTAGTGTAATTATGGTGATAATTTATTTGTACTGAAATGTGATTTTATTTGTATGTTAATAAATAAAGTTGCCTGGGGGTCAGAGCTAATAGCAAGCCATAGCAGAAGACTGGTAGTGGTAGCACACGCCCTTAATCCCGATCACACGACAGGCAGATCTCTGTGTGTTCAAGGGCACCACCAGCATGGAGACACACGCCTTTAATCTCAATACCAACCATAGAAGACCTGGAGGTCTGTATAGATGGGTAGTGACGAGGTCACGTTGTTGGTTTTACAACCAATGAGAAGGCAGAACAGAAAGTCTATAAAAAGACAGACACACAGGAAGTAGCTCTCTTGCTGAGGAGGACAGCAGCAGCAGTGAAGGGTAAGGTTTTTAGCTCTTAGCTTTTGCTCTGACCTCTTGGACTTTTTAACTCTGCAATCAGCTCTGTGTTTCTTATTTAAAAAGACGGTTACATCTACATGTAATTCTATACACAGTTTTAGTGTGATTCTGTACACAATTCTATACAAAATTCTTAGTGTAGTTCTATACACAGTTCTTAGTGTAATTCTGTACACAGTTCTATTGGTACAATTCTATACACAATTCTATTAGTGTAATTCTATATACAATTCTATTAGTATAATCATACTTTTCTACTTGTTAGATAAACAAACTTACAATTTTTTAGCAAACATTCCTATTCATCTTAATTAGGTGTCATAGCAATAGCAATAGCAAAGTCCCAGAAGCAACTTCAAAGTGTATTAAAATAATAGAAAGCTACATTTTCCCAACTGTCTTCCCGTTTCTCAGCCTCTCAAGCCAGTCCTGCCCTTTCTGTGGGACAGCTACAAAAGCATGACCAGAGGCTAGACAAATAAAGGTGGCCGGTCGCTTCAACCCATGTGAGGGAGCGGAGTAGTGATGGAAACTAATAAAGCAGAGTGTAGCTGTTCAACTGAGAGTTGTGCACAGTGCACACCACCCTTACACACCGCCCTCCAAGTGCAGTTCTCTGAAGGGGGAATGGGAGTAACACAGATACTTCTCTTTATTAAGTAGCTAAAGGTGATGCTCTGATCTCGCTGACTTACAATAATGCTGCTGGTTACCTTTCTTCAAAGCTCCTGACACTCTACAAGCGAATGCCCACACCACCTCCTGCCGCAGTATAAAGGTGAGTGGGACTCACCTTCTCCTTTTTCTTTGGTTCTTTCTCTTGGACATTCGAATAGTCTTGATACAGCTGTTTTAAATTAGATAAGAAATGCATGGAATTCTTCAGTGATGACTTTCTCTCCTTAAGGTTGTCATATTGTTTTTGTAGTTGTTTCAGTTGTGGTTCTAATCTAGACGACAAAATTTTTAAAAATCTTAAAAGAAATTGGGTAAAACACAAATTAATAGAAATATATGTATAGTTCATGGACTGAAAACATTAAAGTGAGCATACTATAAAGAAGAACAGAAACCCAAACCAAAAATACCATTTTCTCCCACATAAATGACATGACAAAGTCCAGCAGTATACAATGCATAAGCAACCTGGGAGAAGAAGGAAGAAAGGGGGTGGGCTAGGTGACCTGCGCTTGCCTCTCAGATTATGAATGTAAAAGATTCTACGTTTCCGATCATCTCAACTATGATACACAATTAGCAGTGGTGGCCACAGTGAACGTGCCTCACAGATGCTGAGTTCAAGTCCTGGAAAGTACTGGATTAATGTAAATTTGGCCAACAGGCAGGAGTAGCCAGCGTGACAGTTTAACCAGGAGGCCATGCAGAAAGTTCCCTTATTAAAATCTCCAGCTTCCAAGGCCAAATAAAATCAACAGAAAAGCAGGCATAAGGCCTGGATAGGAAGATATGTGCATGACCTTGGGCCAATTGCTGCCTCCCTGGGGCTGAGTTTCTTCACCCATAAAGAAGACGGGTAACTTGTGATTTATGGTGGGGGAGGAAGAAAGGCTACCAGTCTCATCTTGCAAATAAAAATATAAAAACCAACTATTCTCAAATGTAAGAATAGTGCATCTGTATGTGTGTTTCTCATGCTTTTTCTTTGGTTTCTCTCTCTGTTTTCATTTGCCTATTTGTTTTCCTAAAGAGAAAGAAGGCATGGCGTTGGATGGGTGGAGAAGTGGGTAGGATCTGGGAGATGAGAGAGGGGAAACGTGATCAGAAATAATAAATAGATAAATAAAATAACAATAAATTTAAAAAAATTATTTGCTGGGGATGTCTTTCTGTATGCTGTGAATGCGTTGCTCTGATTGACTGATAAAACACTGATTGGCCAGTAGCCAGGCAGGAAGTATAATATAGGCGGGATAAGCAGAGAGGAGAATGCTGGGAGGTGGAAGGCTGAGTCAGGAGACGCTGCCAGCTGCCGCTGCCATGAGAAGTAAGATGCCACTGGTAAGCTACAAGCTACGTGGCAAGGTATAGATTTATGGAAATGGGTTAATTTTAGATATAAGAACTAGATAACAAGAAGCCTGCCATGGCCATACAGTTTGTAAGTCTCTGTATGTTTACTTGGGTCTGAGCAGCTGCAGGAGCCCGGTGGACACAGGAAAACTCCATCAACAATTATTTTCAATTAAAAACAAAAGAGCTCTGCACCCTGAACAACCGCAACATTTCTTCAGCACACTGCAGACTGGACTGGTGGTGGTGGCCAGAGGTGCGGGATTGCATTCCCTGTCTTTCCTGAGGGTGGGACCGGCTGAGATGAAGTGACTCCCCTGGGCCTTAGGCTTCTCATATGCAAAACCATAACATACTTTTCTTTACTATGCCTTTTCAAATGTCTGTCCTACTACAGTGGCATCTAGAGAAGGAACTAAAGCGGCCAGTCTCAACACATCTCAACAGTCTCACATGGATGCCAAGGTTAACCAAACAGAGCCTTGTTACAGAGCCATACATGGCCTACGTCATGGAATCATATTGGCTAAGAACTGCCCTTGTCGTAAAGCAAGCTGTGAACTGTTACCATCATGATTACTATATTACCCCAATTTTCCATGTTTTGGCCAGAGCCAATGAACACACTTTCTAGTTCTTCCCATAGACTAAACTTGTAAACAATGGAATAGACAATTAATTGGTCTTTCAAAATCCTGTGCAGTCACTTTAAAACCTAGTGCTTACTTACATAGTATTTCAAGTGTTTGCTGACATACCTCCTTCCTGCTCAAGCTTCCTGCTACCACACCCATGTGGTCCTGGGAATTGAACCCACGGCCTTGCCCATGGCAGGAGGTGCACTACCACTGAACCACATCCTCAGCCTGTCCAAGCTCTTTTAAAGCATCTTAAGAGTGGAGAGCACGGGGTTGGGGATTTAGCTCAGTGGTAGAGCGCTTGCCTAGCAAGCACAAGGCCCTGGGTTCGATCCTCAGCTCCAAAAAAAAAAAAAGAGTGGCGAGCACAGCCAGTCCTACATCACTTCAGCCTCTGCCTCACACGGCACTCCATACCTCAGAAGGCCAAAATGTAGAGACAGACTGCCAGACTCGGGTGTGAACACTAATGCATGGGGACCACCCCCAAGCCTAGACCTCAGGACATGGACTGGCATGAGTTCATTGTAGAGTGTATGCTTCAACAGTAACTAAAGAGCCAGTGACCAGCCTGGGTTACGCAGCAAGACCATCTGTCAAAAAACAAAACAAGCAAGCACACAACATAAGCAGAACCATCTGCATGAGTCGCTGCCCAGACCCTTCCTAGGCTTACTCAGGGGCTCACACAACACCCTCTGAGGAGCAGTTGTACCCATATACTACAGCTATACCCAGATACTGAGGCACTGGGAAAGTCAGAACTCACCCAGGTCTGCAGTCAGCGGCAGAGCCTGATTCAAGTCCCAGACAGTCTAGTCCTGGAGTCTACTCATTAAATCTGCGGTCAGGCTGCCAGAGGCCAGACCAGACATGCTGGGAGACCAAGCGTGAAGACTGTCCTTTGCTAAGGCTTCCGCAACTGGGGACCAGAAGCTGCCGCCACTGACTGTCCAAGTGCAAAGGAAACTGGGGCTTGTCGTGGGTCACGGCGGCGAACAGCACTCCCCTAAGTGACAAGCTCTCCTGCCCTGTAGGTGAGTCCCAGCAGGAGCGGACGGTATCTTACCGAAGCAGTTCATCCTGGACCTCGATCAAACGCTGCCGCCTCTTTTCCATGTCGGAGATCATCTGAGCAAGGCAATAATTACTCAGGTTAGCACAGGGATCCCAGCACTGCTGCACTCTGCCCTGGCACTGAGAGCAGGGGCGCATCTCAGGGGGCAGCTTGGAAGACTGGGGGGCACAGACCCCCCTTCTCTTGCTTCTGTCTGACTCACGGAGCCACTAGTCACGGACCAGAACTTCCCAAACCGAGCCCGAATAACCTTCTCTCTTTATAAGCTGATTGTCTCAGGTGCGAAATGATAATGACCGCAGACTAACAGAGATCCCCATTCCTTAGTCTCCAGTAACATTGCAAAATCAAATAAAAACCTGACCCAAACCACAAAGCCCTTACCCAAACTGTACAGGTTATAAACTAAAGCAGGTGTTACTTCCTCCCGTTTCCTCCCCGAGAGCCACTAAGAGGCCCCGCTTCACCTTGGTGTGCAGGTTATAAACTACAGCAGGTATTATTTCCTACCCCGAGACTCACTAAGAGACCCCGATTCACCTTGGTGTTCTTCCTTTTCAGAGCTCTCAGCACCTGGACTTCTTTAAGCTACAAAGACAACAAAAGGACAAGTATGTCTAATTTTCCAAAATTCAGTGTTTCAAGTTCCACGTTTAAGCTGCTGGGAGACACCAGTTGATAAGATGCCTGTCGTGAAGGCATAAGGACCCGAGTTCAGATTCCCAGCACCAGTACATTTGGCTTTACCAGGTGCTGGTGGAGAGGGCAGCTCCTTGAAGCTCACAGGCCCGCTGTGAAAATCAATGATCTTCAGGTTCAGTGAGACCCTGTCTCACATAATAAGTTGTGGACCGACTGAGGAAGTGACTTGGCGTGGGCCTCTGGTTTCCACACACATGCATATGTGCAATTCCACATCCACACACCCACAAAAAGAAATGAGGGCAGTTCTCACGGGTTTACTCCACAGAGCCAGCAAATGCAAGCTTTTCTACAACCACAGGACACTTTCCAAACTCTAGTTTAAACAATTTGGAGCAGCCAGGCACAGTGGCGCATGCCTTTAATTCCAGCACTCACTGGAGAGGCAGAGGCAGGCGGATCTCTGTGTTCGAGGCCAGCCTGGGCTACAGAGAGAGTTCCAGGACAGTCAAGATTATACAGAGAAACCTTGTCTTGAAAAACATAAATAAATAATTTTAAACAATATAATTATGTCAGTGAACTTACCATTCTGATGAGTTCTCCTTTAATTTTAAAATAAAAATCGTTGATGGCTTCATTACACCTTTCAGATTCTACTCTTGGTCTGTAAATTGTTATAAGAAAACCAAAATAGGTATCGGTATCATAAAGGATTCTGAAGGATGCATTTCATTTACTTGATACATAAGTACATATAGTTTGGCACATATTGTTGAAATACCTAAGACAGCAAGGTAAAACCTTTAGCTTTTTCTCATACTTAATCAAACTGGGAATAAGAAAGGGGAAGGGAGCCAGGCAGTGGTGGTACACGCCTTTAATCCCAGCACTCAGGAGGCAGAGCCAGGCGGATCTCTGTGAGTTCGAGGCCAGCCTGGGCTACCAAGTGAGTTCCAGGAAAGGCGCAAAGCTACACAGAGAAACCCTGTCTTGAAAAACCAAAACCAAAAACAAACAAACAAACAAACAAAAAAAAAAAAAGTAAGAGAGGGGAAGGGGGCTGGAGAGATGGCTCAGTGGTTAAGAGCACTGACTGCTCTTCAGGAGGTTCTGAGTTCAATTCCCAGTGACCACATAGTGACTCACAACCTCCGGAATGAGGTAATGAGATCTGGTGCCCTCTTCTGGCCTGCAAGGGCACATGCAGGTAGAATACTGTATACATAATGAATAAATAAATCTTAAAAAAAAAAGGAGGGGGGAGAGGCGCAGGGAGAGAATAGGAGAAGAACCGGTGGACAGGCTCTGGGAACCTCGGGGTAGGACACAGGAACAGCTTTTAGGTCTCCATCCCAGGACTGGATTGAGCTGTCCACTAACACACTAGGGCCTTGAGCACCTAGAAAAGCATTTGACCACTGAGCCACACCCCCAATCCATGGTTTTATCACTGAGTTTCCAAGAGTTCTTTGTAAATTCTAACAGTCCTTTACCATATACATCTTTCAAAACTTTATTCTCTTATAATTTCATGCACATATGTTATTTGATCAAAGCCCCCTCGTGATCCACTCTTATACCTTCCCTTTCCTATCATATCCCTTCTTTTCAAGTTCTCCTACTTTCCTGTCTTTTTTTGTGATCTACCTAATTAGGATTGCCTGCTCAAGCATGGGTCGGTCAGAGACAAGTAAGTCTCTTGCAAAGACGGTCTCCCATGCTGTGGACTATCTTTTCAGGGTTGGAAGTATCTTGCATAGAGCAGAAATGATTAACTCTTGAAGTCCAGCTTATGAACCTAGATGGGTTGTGCTCTCGCTGTAGGCAGGTCATTTATCAAATGCAAGGTCACGTGCGGTTTCCCTTATGATCTCCTCTAGTTCTGCAGATTTACACTTAGGTTTGTGATCCAATCTGGTTCAGCTTGTCAAGGGGCAGTATTGGTTGTTTATGAATGTCCCACTGCTGAAGTGCCTGTGTTTTCTTTATTTTGGGGACAGGGTTTCACTATGTAGCCTTAGCCGGCCTAGAACATGTAGACCAGGCTGGCTCCTGCCTCCAGAGCCCGGGACGAAGGGTGTGCAGCACCCAGCCCGCCTGCAGCACATGTCTCTGACCGGCTCCACTGTACTCTCTGCTCCGTCGTCAGTCAGCTGACTCCCTGTGGGCTCCCCCTCTGTCCATTATTCTCAGCAGTACTTCACTGCGCTGAGCACCACAGATCTACAGGGAGCTCTATTCTTAGTCTTTCCCTCCGTATGAATATTAGGATTCATCTGTGAATACCCACAACAGAATCTGCTGGGATTTTGAGATTGCCTGACTCTAGAAGTTGAAAAGAACAGACATACGGACAATGTTGAATTTATTTATACACGAGGAATCTTGCTGCATTTGTGAGCTTCCTCTCTGATTTCTTCCCACAGCTCTCATGTAAGTATCTTATTTGGGGCATTACTTTATGTAAGTGGCGCTGTTTTAAATCTCGGATTCTACTAGTTCATGCAATGTAATGGATTGTTCTTTTGCAGTCTTGGTACTTTTCAGTTCTTTTCCCTTATCTACCATGCTAGCTAAGACTTACGTTATCACTGACTGCTGAGAGGGGCAGCCTTGCCTGCTTCCTGATGCTGATGGGAAATCCTTGCTAGTTCTCCATGTTAAGTATACTAGCTCCAAGATCCTTGTAGATAATTCTTTATCAAGTTAAGAAGCTCACTCTATCCTAATTTAATTAAAACAAAATCATGAACGGGTATTGGATTTTATCATATACTTTCCCTGAATCTCACACATGATCTTGTTAACTTTTTATCTTTAGTCTGTAAATATTTATTTTACTTCCTAACGTTGAACCAGTCTTACACATAACCCATCTTATCTTGAACATTCATCTTAGATAAATCTCACTTGCTGGTAGCTATTTGTTTTAATACGCTGTTGAAATCAACTTACTAATACTGTGTTGAGGATTTTGCAGCTATTTCTTATGAAAGACAGATACAGATCTACTTGGGTTATGTTTTTCTTCGTGTGTGTGTGTGTGTTTTGGCTAATTGCATCCACTTGACCTAAGTACCTCTGAACGGCAAAGGCACAACCAAAGCATGAAAACGCAACCCACGGAATGCAAGCAAACATCTGCAGGCCATGTAGCTGATAAAGGAACAACGTCCAAAATATACTTAAAAATGACTCAACCACATGTATAAAACAGTCCAACTTAAAAAATGAGCAAAGGACTAGAAAGACATTTCTCCAGAGATAGAGACATGGCTACCACACACAGAGATATTCAGCCGCACTGATCACGAGGGAGACAAATGAAGACTCAGAACAAGTTTACATCCACCTGCACACATGTGTGCATTAAATATCCGAAAAAAGGTGGCAAAGCTGTAATGTGGTGATGGGGAGCAATGTATGCACACATCTGTGCGTTTGCAGAGGACAACAGGGCCCCTGCTCTATCGCTCTCCACCTCATTCCTGGGAGACTGGGTCTCCCACTAAGCCAGGACCTGGGCTGGCGGCAAAAGGCCCAGCTATCCTCCTGACTCTGCCCTGCCCAGCACTGGAGCGTCGGCCATGCACAGCCACACGCTTTTTATGTGGATGCTGGGATCCACACTTGAGTCCGTGTTTGTACAGCAAACTGTCTTATCTACTGAGCCCAGTCACTGAGAGAGGAGCTATAAAACGGTGTGTAGTTCTCAGGAAAACAGTAGAGACAGTTAGAAAATTAAATAAACATCACGTGGTGCAGCAATTGCACTTCTGGCTATCTACACAGAAATAACTAAAAGGAGGAACCAAATACACCGATAGCCATAAAATTATCTGCTGAGGAGGAGAAAGTGGCCGACTGTTTTGATGATTGCAGATTTCAGTTCTGTAAAATGAGTAAGTTCTAGGAGTGTGCTGCATGAGGTGCAGACAGCTGGCCATTCTGCATTTTAAAAATGGTCCATGGTATATTCTGTTACGTGTTTTTACAATGGTGAAATTACTTGTATGCTTCACAACTACCGGGAGAGCTAAAGCAGTAGACTGCAGGGGTGACAAAGCATCTCTCCGCCCACAGAGGATGGTTTCCTGGGTAGAGCCCCACAGCTGGCAGCAGAGAATGGGAGGGGGCGGGGGACCAAGTCTGGGATGAGGGTTGGAGACACGCTGGGATGGTTAGCTTTATCAACCCCACAATCCAGAATCACCTGGGAAGACCGTCCCAAGGAGGGGCAGTCTGGATCAGGATGTCCTGGGGGCATGCCTGGAAGGGTTGTTCCAGCAGAGTTAACTGAAGACCCACCCTGAATGTAGGTAGCGCCATTCCCTAGGTGGGGCCCTGGCTGTATGAAGGGAGAAAGCAGCAGCAAGCTTGTCTGCACTCATTCTGTCTGCTCGGGACTGTGGATGTGACTAGCAGCTTCAAGTTCACACCGCCAGTTCCCTCCCGAGGATGGACCACAACTCGGAAGTGTGATCTAAAATAAACCCCTTTCCTTCCTGAGTGCTTCTCGGGGTATTTTATCATAGCAACGGGAAGGAAATAAGAGAGTGGGCCAGAGATGCTTCTGGCGTCCACCAGCACTCACTCCAGAGCAATGGTAAGAATTCACCCACGAGCTGAAGAGAGCAGTCGGCCAGACTCACAGGTCCCCTTACAGCTACCCTTTAAACACCCTTTGTGAGCGCTACCAAGTCCAAGACCGGAAGGAAGTCAGTGGTGGGTCCACAGGGTGGGTCACGGCAGGAAGGGGCATCCCTCCTAGACGTAAGCCTGCCTTCCTAGACATTTTCATGATGTCCTTCCCCTGCTTTCAGGTAGTGAGTGTTGGGCAAATCTCCCACAGCAGCATGGGGGGCTCCACAGCCCTCCCTCCCTCCCAGCATGGGGTAAGCCCCCCCTCCACAGCCCTCCCTCCCTCCCAGCACGGGGTAAGCCCCCCCACACAGCTCTCTCTCCCTCCCTCCCTCCCAGCACCGGGTAAGCCCCCCTCCACGGCCCTCCCTCCCAGCAGGTAGCCTCTGCCCTCCTGCATCAACCTCATCTCCAAAGCTGCTAGACGTGCATTTTGTGGACTCCATGTCCTCACAGAGGTCCCCACTCTCTGACTCACTATTGTCCCAGTGGGTCCTAGTCTCAGAAAAGCCAGCTGTATTCACAGCTCTGTGTGACCAGTCCACGTTTCTCTCAGACCCACTCTGCCAGGCTGCATTTTAAAATATTGTTGTTTAATGTCTTAAAGTTTATGGATCACTCTCTTCAGGAAAGAACAAAACTGGACTTGTGCTCAAGGAAAATGAGTGAGGCCTGACGGCTTCAGCTGTTTCTCCAACTCTCCCCACAAACCCCAGGCTGCAGGAGACAGCCAAAGGCACTACCTATCTTGATGCCGCTCAGAGGGGTGTTCTAGAATATTACTTTAGCATGTAAAGGTGTGTTACATTTGTTTATGCTGTGGAATATTGAACTGTGCAAAGGTGTGTTACATTTGTTTCTGCTGCCTTTGTTTAATTATGTAACGATGTATTGCTATTTCACCTTGCCTGCCTAAGACACCTGATTGGTCTAATAAAAAGCTGAACGGCCAATAGCTAGGCAGGAGAGGGACAGGCGGGGATGGTGGGCAGAGAGAATAAGTAGGAGCAGAAATCAGAAATCTAGGCTAGAAAGAAAAATGGAGAGAGAATGAATGAAAAAAAAAGAGGGATGCCTGGAGCCTGACAGACAGACACAGAGTAGGACATACAGAATGAAAGAAAGGTAGAAAGCCCCGAGGCAAAGTGTAGATGAAGAGAAACAGGTTAAATTAAGTTATAGGTGTTCTGGTGGGAACTCCTCCTCAGCCTTGGCACCCTGGCATCCCTATCCCCAAAGAGTCTGGAATGTTCTGGTGGAAGGTCCACCTCCACTCCCCTCCCCCGTCTCTTTCCCCAAACCCATCCCCTCAAAGCCCGCCATACACAGCTCCTCCCCAGAGACGCTCAAGACCACTCCAATAGGGTATTTAAACTGCATCCCAGAAAACAGACACGTGGTTTTCCGGTCTTTCGTCCCAGGCCCCTCTTTGGGGGGCTGGAGAATCATCCGGGGATGCTTTACCCTTTAAACCGGGGCTTTTTCTAACTCAGTCTGATTTGGTTTGATTTGGATTACTGCGTCGGCGAAGAGGCCTATTGGGGTGCAAAAACCTTTTGAGCTAGTGGGACAAGCCTAAGACAAGGCTGAGCATTCGTAACTAATAAGAAGTCTCCGTGTCGTGATTTGGGAGCTGGTTACTGGTCCAAAGGAAAGCCTGCTCCAGAGGGGTGCAAGAGTGAAGCCCTGACGAGGTGGTGGCTGCTCTCTGCCATGAGTGATGGAGGCTGTGTAGCCGTGGGCTCTTCCCCCATCACTGCCTTCAAGGAGATGGCAGGGCCTGGAGTGTGGCCATACTTGGCACACACTATCTGACTGGGAAAAACTAACAGCACTGGGGGAGACACTTATTCTAGACTAAATTCAAGTCTATGAGAAATGTCTAGAATAGACGACTCAATAACTTGAAACTAGCATACTAAATGTATGTAGAAGGATTATAATGAAATTGTAAAGGCATCTTAAATGGAATAATACTGAAAACTAGGATGAACGCAGTGGTACTCGGAGCACAAGTGATCGGTCCAAGCATTACAACCTCAAAGGACTTACTTATACTCCAGGAAGGTTTTCTCAAAGACAGACAAAATAACATCCAACTCCATGATGTCACCACGTCTCTTTCCTTCTAGACACCAAATATGCATACTTTCGGAAGCATCTAGAAGAGTAAGCACATGTCAGTTTAATAGACTCGTTCTCTGTAACCTGGCTCTAGGTCCAGGACTCCAAGTGCTGAACAACAGTAGCCCTACCAGGGTGTAGAAACAGCTAAAACCACACTCATTTCTTCCCGTTCCAGGCCAGTCTAACAAACCCCTCTGCTGTCACTCTCTTCCCGCGTCTAGAGCTTGCCTTTGGAGACAGGCTCTCACACTAATGTGCTCCGGCGTGGGGTCTCCTTTCAGCTATAGTGAACTCTATTACACTTGTCCACATGACACTGCCGTTTCTATTCTTAGTACCATTTTAAACTGTGCAGTGTATAGCAGGAGTTAAAATGACTTGGGAAATTGGGATATGTCTGTCTTCTGACTCAACAACTTCACTCTCTATTCCTCCAAGAGAAGTAAAAACATGTTGACAAAATTGTGCATCCGAAGGTTCACGGGCAGGAGGCAGTTCATAAAGAGGCTGGAGCCCGAGCTCCATGCACTTTCCTAGGACGGGCAAGGTCAGGAGCTCAACCCCAGCACTGCACGGGTTAAAAAGATGAAAGAAAGAGGGAAGAGAAAACAAAAGGGGGTGGGGTGGGGCGGGTCCCCAGGCTTTATTTATCACAGCCCCGCAGTGAGCAAGGACACACTCACAATAGGACTCCATTCTTCCATCTACATGGGACTTCATTTTTATGATGTCTAAGTGTCTGTGTGAGTGTATGCAGGTACCCATGGAGGCCAGGAGAGGAGGGCACACATGCCCTGGAACTGTTGTACACTGCCTGATGTGGGTGCTGGGCACTGAACTCGGGACAAGTAAAGAGAGGGGAGAGAATGGGGTTGGATTTTTATCAAACTATATTATATGCATGTATTAGTATGTATTTTTTTTAAATTCATGATAAAATGATAGAAAAAGAGAAATGTTGCTCCAAAGTCATAATTTCTTAATCAAGTGGCAGTTTTAGCCAAGATGGTGGTGTACGCCTTTAGCTCCAGTACTCTGGGGGAGAGAGGCTGGTGGATATGTAAGAGTTCCAGGCCAGCTCGGGCGACACAGAGACTCTATCTCAACACGCCTGCCCCTCCCCCACTACAGTCTGCTCTTTCAACAACCAGGCCACGTAAAACAGGAACTTTTAGAGACGCTCCGCAAGTGACAAGGATAAAGCGCCACTGTACCCGGGTCTGTGGCTTTGCTCCCCGGTTTCTTTCTTCTGCCAGGAGACAGCCTCACTTCCTTCTGAGTTTTCTACCAAAAAACAAAAAAAGAAATGGTATAGCTACGTAGGGAAAATCTTTCAGAAACTATGCCATGATAAATATACATGTGTAAGTAACTAGCTTTGTGGTAATTAGTTGTGAAACAATTATAAGCAAATAGAGAGACCGAGTGCCACTAAGTTAGATACTGGGAAAACGTCTTCACACTCACGCCTAGCAAAGGATAAAAATCAAGCCTGTAACTTCAAAACAGCAGGCAAATGTCCGGCTGAGTTCAGAATAGCCACTCACAAGACAGGACACAGAACTCAGTATCTCCAAACAATGGGGACTACATTTCAAGTTCTAGTCTAAACCGGACACACAAGAAAATGTGACCCTGAGTCAAGACAAAAACAGACCGAAGAGAAGTTGACCCAAAGATGACCCAGACAGTGGTTCAGGAAACCAAGGCTGAAGCGGTGGCCATCATGACTACAAAGGGAACAACAGTCTTAGCAGAGAACCTCCTGGGGAACAGAAGTGACCACTCAAGATTACAGGCAGCCCCTACCCCCCAGCCCACCCCCACCCATCCCTGTCCCCAGCAAGGGATGTGGGGGGTGTGTGTAAAAGCATCCTTTGTCCATTCCAGCTTCCGGGGGCCGTGACTGGTGCCATGGATGTTTCACTCACCCTCACATCACCCTCTGTGTCTAATCTACATCTCTCTTACAGGAATACCTATGACAACATTCGTGGTTACACATGTAATTCACGAGGGTGTATCTCTGGCTACCAATATAAGCAGAATTATTTATCTAAAATATTCAACCAAATAAGTTAATAAAATATATAAGAATATGAGCCAAAAGATACTATATTTCAATGACCTCAAAAACAAATTATGACCCATATCATTTCTTCATAAGGAAATAAATCAAGAGTGTATATGAAGACTTTGCTACAAAGAAATCCATGACTGAGCAGGTTATACTTACACACTGAGGAAAACACACACACACACACACACACACACACACACACACACACACACACACACTAGCAATTAACAAGAAAACAGGCCATGTATTTGAAAAAGAGCAATGGGGGTATTTGGAGGGTTTGGAGGGAGGAAAGGGAAGGGAGATGATGTCATCATATTACAATCTCAAAAATATAGAGAAACTCATCAAAGCACCAAAACTGCAATTTCCATCAATCAATACTATGGGTACCCATGAACAGAGTGCAAACACTGGGTAAAATGATATCATGGAAAGACTGTGGAGCACACACCAGGACACAGATGTTGTTCTGTAGATAAATTTTTCTTCCTTTCTAGATCTTCTAGGTTTTCTAAAGGAAACATTGCTTTCTGTAATAAAAGCTCTACACTTTAAAATTTTTTATTTCCTCCTTAATCTTTTTTGTTCTCGTTCTCTCTCTCTCTCTCTCTCTCTCTCTCTCTCTCTCTCTCTCTTTAGATTTATTTATTATGTATACCATGTTCCGTCTGCATCTATGCCTACAGGCCAGAAGAGGGCGCCAGATCTCACTACAGATGGTTGTGAGCCACAAGTGGTTGCTGGGAATTGAACTCAGGACCTCTGGAAGAACAGCCAGTGCTCTTAACCTCTGAGCCATCTCTCCAGTCCCCCTTAATCTTTTTTTTAAGATTTATTTCTATTATTTTCTAATAATGTGTATGGGGGGAGGGGTGTATGTGCACATGCAAGCAAGTGCCCAGAGGTCAGAGGTGGCAGAGCCCCCCCGGAGCTAGGGTTACAAGCAGCTGTAAGCCTCCTGATGCAGGTACTGGGAATCGAACCCAGGTCCTCAAGAAGAGCGCTGAGCCGTCTCTCCAGCCCTTCTCCTCCTCAATCTTTCTAAGGAACTTTTCTCTCGGAGGGGCGGACGGCAAACACTGCTCACCCGCTGCCTTTGTGTCGCTGGAGTCTCCTCTGCAGCGGAGGGCCGAGTGCTGTGGGGTCTTGTCCTCTTAGGAGTGGTCCGCGCGGCTGGCTTCGCAGGGGCTGCCGAAGACGCTGCCGGAGCAGCCTGGTGCTGTTCTGCTCTCTCCAGGGACCCCACTCTCCTCCTTATGTCATCTTCAGAGCTCTCAGACTCGTCGCTGATGGGATCCAGCCTTCTCTTCGGCTACGAAGGAAACAGCACTGCCAGTTTAGAAAACCGCAAACCTTAGGATTCTTATAATGTCGGGGACCACGGAATCCCCATCTGTAAACATCAAAACTGCACATGACATCCAGAAGGCAGCACGATCAGAATGCCAGCGAATTCTCTCTGCCTTTGTAAGCCACAACCTGAACACGTTTTCGGAATGCTGCAGAAACTGACGGGTAAGTAGAAAGCTGAGAACTCTTTTATAACACTTCGGATATAAAAATCTTTTCCCTGGCCTAGTCTGATAGTGCGGCAGGGAACGGCACTGGCCACCAAGTCCGAGTTCAATCCCTAAGACTCCTAAGGTCAAAGTGAAGAATGGACTCCCACGAGTTGTCCTCTGACCTCTAAACACACTGTATCACGTACATGCCCACATACATACATACACAAAATAAATCAATATATTTTTTAAACTTCCTTTATTATAAAAGAATTTTCTCAGACACTTCTGTATAAGAAAATACTGCTACGGGACGTTTTTCTCTATTTGCATCTACTCCAAGTAAAGTATGAAGTTCCTTACGAATCAAGACAGAAGAAGAAACACCCCACATACCTTTTTCGCACTCATCTTTACAGACTTGTTTCCACCTGCTTCGTTTGCAGAGGGGTCCACACTGCCAAACAAGAAGCCGTCATTATCCTGCACAGAACGTGTTCTATACACTGCTTCAGCGTGGAAACAAGTGGGATGTGAGGAGGTTTCTACCTGCCATGGCAGCTCTGTCACCTTTCTAGATTTTCTGGCCACTTCTTACATCTGCTCGCATCACTTTTCCCTAAGCGACTGAGTAATCACGGGCCAATGTGATCAGGTCCCCCAAGTCACTGGTCCCATGGCTGGGTCACCGCCTGCTGCGTGTAGGACACAGAAGGCCCTGTGCTAATCTGGAGCCTTGGGTAGGCAGACAGAGGCAGATGGGGGAGTGGAAGATTTCGCAGCAACACCTAAACCTAGAAGCATCAGATCCAGCAGAGGTGGTCTCAGATGCAAGGCCTCTCCATGACAGACCAGCTAGCCAGGATGCTTGGGGGCAGAGGGCGGGGGAGGGAGGAGGGAAGGGAGAAAGGAGAGAGAGATCCAAGAACAAGACAGTTGAACAACTTGGGGAGAAGGTGCCAACTGTCACTGAGGCCTCTTGGGGTCCAGGGACATGTTAAGTTCTCCCCATGCCTCCCCGACTTTCTTTGGTGCTTCTATGTAAACCCTGCCTTATTCCCTAAGTCCTTCCTTTGGTAGCAGGACCATTAACCCCATCTACCTAGAGACCATGAAGCAATCCCAGGCCAGTTCTCCTCCAGCACCAAGACCTACTGGTGTGCTTCTCGACTGTGCCTCAGACCCACCCACTTCCCGTCATCTCTGAAATAACCACCCCACCCTCCCCATCCCACCATGAAAGCAGCTCGCAAACTGGTCTCTCCAATGCCCCTGTCCCTCACACTCACGTAAAAAGCTGGCGAGCACCCCAGTGCCGACTGGGGTGGAGACAGGGGGTCCCGGGGGCCCCTGGCCTGCCACTGGCTGAATTCATGAGGTCCAGGTTCAGTGACAAACTGTGACTCACAAAAGTAAGGTAGGAAGTGACAGAGGAAGACAGCCGGGGTCATCCTCTGGCCTTCGTGTGTGTGTGTGTGTGTGTGTGTGTGTGTGTGTGTGTGTGTGTGTGTGT